ATATCATAACCCTTTTCGCCTCATTTTCAACGGAAATTTGGGAAGATTCCACAATGCTTGTTGTAAGATGCAAATTCTTATTTCGTTCCACATATGTAATTCGCAATATTTTTTAAGTGCGAAATTTGTACGACACCAATATTTTGTGCGGGCTTCTGTAACAGATACCTGATTGTCCAGTCTAAATTTAACGTAATTTGTTTAGTCATATTTCAGTCTTGATAATCGAGGCTGTTGTGTCTGCTTGGAGAGACGCCATGACTTAAAATTTGTTGGTAGATTTCTTGGAGCCCAGATCAGCATACAAAATGGTGAGAAACAATGCAAACTAGGGCCCACACCTTACGCTTACACCCTATATTGCTTTAAGGTCAGCTATATAAATTATGTCCCCCAAAACAGCCAGTTTTATGTAAGTCAAGTTTTAGGGGTTTTGGCGCAGTAATGCCCAAAGTCGTAATTCCGTTAAAATGTTTTGTTTCACGCACGATGTTATTACCGTTTATAGTATTATACATTATTGTAGTATTTTAAGGCTTATTGATTATTTGTGTCTTACTGCAAGTATCATAGTAACGTTTCCCACACAGTGCAGATCTAGGCCTATCTAGGCTACGGCCTGAATTGCAAACTGACGGCCATACAGCTATTTATGTCCTACTGCAAGTGCCAAATTAATGTTTCTCACTCCGTGCGAAGCTAGGCCTATCTAGGCTATGTTTTGAATTCCAATAGAAGGCTTTACAGGTACACCCTACCTGTCATATTAGTTTTATTTATAACAGATATTTATTGTTGTATTATTGTATTTTTCAGTCAATCATTAAACATTAAACATTGAACATGCTGCCTTGGTGGAGAATTAATTTAGAGAATTAAAAGCATTTTAAAAACTGAATTAAAATGAGTGCGTGGTATATGCAATGACATTTTTGCTGGTCTGGGCCCATGTGGGAAATGGAGAGTGGTACTTCAAAATGAGAATCCCTGTTGTGCTTATAATGTAGCGGTGCAATTTCTCTGATAAGACTTTGATCTTCATAGACTCACATGTTGTGATAGCCTGTTGTGTTGGGCTCAGGATGGAAAGTGGTACTTCAAAATCTGAATCCTTGTTCAGTTCCAGTGATGGTGCTTGTAATGGTGCAATTTCTCCGTTGCGTCCTGATCTATACAGACCCACTTGTAATGGTAGTTTTGATGAAAAACTTGCTGCGAAAATAGATATCCTTCATAAACAGAGGGAAATAGATACTGTGACGCTTGAATTATCCTTCAAGGAACAGGAATTGAAGTTGTTGATGGAGCATGAACTTACTCGTGAGAACAGAAATCTCTCGCAAGCTAGAGTTACCAATGGTGGTGGTGATTATCCATCGCAAGATGATGATGAATTAGTTGTATTTTACGTCCGCTTCCACCGAGGTGATATCGCAAGATTTTTACGCTACCTTTATATGATCAGAGACCTTATACTCAGCAGAGTACTGAGGAAACCTTAACGTCTGTGATTCGACAAATAAAAAAACCAACAGTAAGCGTAACCCCCTTTGAAGGTGATGTATTGGACTACCACAGGTTTATAAGACAATTTAAAAGTGTGGTTCTGCCGAACTGTGAGACCGATGCCGAACGGCTAAATTATCTTGACCAGTTTACAAGGTATAAGGCCAATAACGACGTTAAAAGCTACAGTCACCTACCAGCGGATAGAGCCTTTCGTACGGCTTGGAGAGTCCTCGAAGAGAAGTACGGGGATGATGAAGTGATCGCGAATAGATATGTAGAGAAAGCCCTCAGGTGGCCCACAGTAAGATCAGATGACCCAAAGGGACTGGAGGTTTTGTCAGTTTTATTAGTGGAATGTTTTCACGCTTTAAGGTCAAATAATTCTATTCGTGTGTTAAATGGCGGAACATTTATCAAAATACCAAGGAACAGGGAAGATGCGTGCATTTCGGACTACTTGTAGACTTGGTGAAAGCAGAGGCATCTAAGGCAAATGATCCTACTTATGGAAAATTAGCTCTTTCTGGCGACCGATCCAAGAGTAGTAGTAGTAGTAGACCAAGTTATATTCAACCAAGAGGATCATTTGCAACTAGCTCTAGCCCACGCTCTCATGAAAGTCTCGCTGTAAATCAGTATAAGTTCATACCTTATGATATAGCATATAAAAGGCCTTGTTTGTAGTGTAAACACCCATCGCATCCCTTGTGTGTCTGTAAAGTTTTAAGTGCTCTTGCATTCAATGAAAGATTTGACTTTGTAAGACAGGCAAGGTTATGTTTTAGTTGTTTACGTCCAGGTCTGGCAATAATAAGATCCAATTTTAGTTTTTAGTTACACACTGTTAACCACCAATAGATGTTTTAATGACAATAAATCCTAAAATGTATTCAGCTCGACGTAAGACTTAAATATAAATAGATACAGTTGGGTTAACTTGAATAGAGATTTTAATTATCAATGCATATATCACATTACAGTCGAATCACATTACATATCTTTTTAGTTGATGTTCATATCGTCTTACGTATTTGTCAACATCAAGGTGAACTTGCTCTATTGTCCGATTAGCCTATTCAGACTTGTTACCACGAATTTACTCACCCCACCCTCGCTTAGTTATGAATTTATTGTTTCACTTGACTAAAGAAACATTTTGTAGTAATGTATGCTTTTATAGATTGGACACATGTTTGCGATATCATTGTCGGTGGAAACTGGCACTATACCTAAAGAATGATTGAACAAATAGCGGAGACGGGGTTTCAGCCGGCTGATTTAATTTATTTCCTTAAATACAGTAAAACATGAAATATGTCAGTTTTCACTCTTTAGAATGTTTTTGTAAATAAGTTTTTATTGTAGTTTCCGTGGCGTATTCCCAATAAGCGTTAGAAACAAAGATATATAACCTTCATCCCGGTGCCGATAAATGTTGAGTTGTGTTGAACATGCTAATAAATCTCAGGTACGATATATGTTTGATTCTGGTTGAGAACAGCATGAGAGCAACATGATTGTTTTCATTGGAGATGAGACGCAAATATTCAAAGGGGTCAGACAAACTCCAAACCAACCGCGTTCCCTTCACTGAGTCCCTTCAAAGGAGGCCCTGTCTGTCTACCTGTGGAATAACATGCATTTGTATCTGTTAAATTTTGTGTGGTAGACAGATTGATATTATTTATACATAGGCGGGGGCGATAACGTCTTACCCCAAACAAATTGCAAAAGAAACCATGAACTTTCTGAGAGCGAAATTTCGTAATTAGTGTGTTTTAATGGTGGGGGAATAGATAATTTCTTTTTAAATTTTTCAAACACAAACTGGTCATAGAGGCGAAATGTGCCGAAAACCGAATTTGACAAAAATCAAAAAATGTATTTTTCACATGTATGGCGCCGGGCATTTCTTTCAAAATGACTGTCAAATATAAAATAGCATTTTCCGACAAGACCAGCGATAATCTCCTAAGATATGACTTTTACTATGTCTATTAAATGGTTTTCGACGCCTCTTCAAGGTCACCGTCTTGCGCCGAAGTCGTCAAACGCACCGTTGGGGGATTTGTTGGGGCCTGTCTCCCCCAGAAAAATTTCTAGAAATTTCAAGTCGGTCTTGCCTGACCGTGAATACGGCAACCTGAAAGTGGTCGATTTTAATGTAGACATCTGAACTCGAATCAACAAATCAATCAACCAGGCTGTTGTCGTTGCATTCCATGACACCAGACGTGTCACCGATGAAACAAATATGCCTGAAACAAATGTCGCTGTTAGTGCGACCCATTTGTGACATTTTCTAGGTCCCAAATATTAGCGATTTAGCTCCTTTAAAAGCGAATGCAAGTTAAATATGTTTAATAGTACTTTTATCTAGTGTATCTTTTATTTTGATTTTTCTTATAGAATAAGGCTATATAACAATAATGTGCGCTTCTTGTTGTATAATACTAATAATAGTATGTTCAGCTATACTTTTCGTTTAAAAAGTGTATGTTTTATGTCCTATAGACACTTATTCGCTGAAATCTATGACATCCAACAATATAATAGGTCATATAAATAGATAATAAGTTTGCATGACGTCATATGAAATTCCTGGCTTCACAGATGTCGCAACTTTATCTATAGGCCCTACACGGCATTGCGTCGACCAACCATGCAATCAATGTGAAGTAGATGTCAATATGGTTATGTGTAAGAATATTCAGTTCAATATATTCACGGTGTATGATTTTATTCATACTTCAATTTTAGTGAGTTAATTCTGCAACGTTTTTAGAAAAAATTGCTATTAATTTGGCCAGTACTGTATATCTAAAATGTCTTCCCACTTTTCAGTAGCTTTTGGCTGTCATAAATAATATTTTTAATTAACGTATTGTTATTTAAATTTAAATATGAATGTGCTTAACATGCTTGTAAACCTTCGTAAATAAAAAAAAGAAATAAAAACGCTCCAAAGCTTTAGTTATCGAATCACGGTATTGTAAGGGGGTGTGGCTTCATGAATAGATGACCAGGTTAGTGGTATGGGCGTGGCTTAATTGGCACGTATCAGTTGCATAATATGGCCCGGTTGGTACTCACATTCAATTTAATAAATAGTTTTCAAACATGAACAACACCCCCGCCTAGGACTTACATTCAATTCAAATGACTACGATAAAACCGGGGGCACTCACATTTACTAAGAAAATAGTGCAAGATAGTAACTACATCTATTGCATACACCGATAATGTCGATCATCGTGACGTATCGTAGGTGCGAGTGATGTGTATATGAAATCTATAAATAGACTTGATTGCCCTACATATCTCAATAGCGCTTACTCAGTTTTACATGATCAATAGAGCTGCCGTCTTCTGTAACCTAGCCTATAGTCACATACGCTATACAATGTTAACACGGCTGGGGGGACAAAACACCAACCGACCTAATTTAGTCATAAAGGATAGAGTGCGTGAGTGTAAAAGTACATAACACACCTGTCTGGAAATCGTTTATTAACAAATATTGCAACATGATAATGTCTATGTGTAACAACGTGTCTTGCGATTATTCACAAGTGATTATAAATTGAGAGATTACTAGCTTTCGGAATCAATAAATGGAAAATGATTCGAGATAACTAGACGTTATAATATATCGCTGTGAAAATAGTCGGCCATTTTTTAATTCATTTTGATATTTTTATTTGTATTTTAAGTTACGTCGTGGATCAAGATGTTAATTAATTTTACCTGTCTTTTACCTGTATTGGCGCTGTTCATTATACCTGTAAATGCGGCTAACGGTAAGTTAGTATACCTGTTTGCTCTATTAATACGTCGATTCGGTAACCTGGACGTCCCGTCTTCGATCCCGACGGTGGTCGCGACAGTTCATCGGGTTTTCCGACGTGGTTCCCCCATGTCAGTGATACAGAAGAATGGGTCTGACAATGGAAAACTTATGGGACACATTGGCCTGCATTTAAAAGAACCCTTGGTAGTTGGAATTCGATATATGAGTAGGCCTAGCGCCGCTGTCCTGGCAAAAGTTTCCTCCTAGCACACTGTATGGCGTTTGCATGTCTTGTTTATGTGTGCCGTGGTCTACCTGCACTCATTATTAGTCACGTAGGTAGTAGCCAGGTAACAAGACATGTTGCTTCGTTGCATTCTCGATTATCGGACCCAGTATGGTCGTAACTTTAAGACATGCAACAGATCAACACATTGATAATTCCTGTCTCAAGGCTGTTATTGTAATCAAGGGGCACAAGCCAGTATTTATCATCAGATATTGTCATTACATTAAACGCTTCGTCATGTTGCTAAACCCCACTTCATTTCACATAATTGATTCATAATTAATATCCACGTCTTCACTAACTAAAATGGAACAGAAAGGTAGGACATAAAATCCCATTTTATTTCACCAAATTGTTTAATTCCAAAGGGCACAGGTCTCGCATTTATCGTCAGATATTGTCAATTTTGTTGAACTCCATTCCATGTCATATATTTGTGATACGCCCTTAATAATCTCGTTTCGTTAGCCACGATGGAACTGAAAAGTAAGACATAAATACATTTGATTACATTTCGTTTCCTTTTCAAAACAATGATATTATTAATCCGGCAATTACGACATGAGTAATTCAAATAGATACTCCATTTTATTTCACCTAATTGATTGAATTGTACGTAATATTCACGACCAAAATACCAACACCTGTAACTCAATTCAATCTATCCCGAATTATTGTTTGTATTAACTATAATTTATTGATTGATATTGATATAAAAATGAGAAAATGAGGTTTACCGTAAGGTCTACACAAACTAGGTTATTTTGGGACTAACATAGAATAAGATTATTCTATTTTTTTAATAATTTGCTAAGCTTAGGGATATTTAGCAGTGGGTGGGACACCTAGAAACCCACGAGATCTTGTCACGTCTATTGACGGCAAATTCTCATAGTTAAGGTCCACTTCAGATTTCGTCAAGGTCGTCAGATGTAAATGGGGCACGCTTGGAGGAGATTGTAGGTTAAGGGTTAGGGTTAGCGTTAGCCCTGTTTACATCTCGTGACCTTTGACCAAATCATTATGTTGCGGGTCTTAACTTTTAGAACTAACCGTAATTGACTCAATGACATAGATATAGATAAGTATTTTGAATATGTTCAGGATTCGCACATTAAATCGCCTCAACCATTCTGACCATCCGGTTGGACAAAATATATCTGTATGAAATATTGGAAAGATAGAATGGGGTTAAAACGCCCAATTAATACAAACTATGCCTCTCCGGGACTAACACTGTACAATGTTATTTCAATAATTTACATAAGCGAAGGAGTCTTTAGAAGTGAGCGGGGGTGGAGAAACCCGCGACTCCTTGCAACGCCAATTCTCTAACTGACATATCTTATGATTTAAATTGCACGCGTTAGAGTATTAACGTAAATACAACAACATCCTTGCAAAACACAACGTGTCCAAAATTGCCCAATCGCGAATTTGAATTATTACCCAGATATCTTACAAGCTCAATCTGATTAAAACACAGGTCCAATTTCGTTTTGTTTTTGTTTTATAGTTCAAAATTTCGTTTTACTTGTCTTCTGATTAAAACACAGATCCTATTTTGTTTCGCTTTTTTATAGTTCAACATTTCGTTTAACTTGTCTTTAATTAGGATCTGGAGGTGTTGTTATATAATCCGCGTTCTTGTTGATGTGATGGATTAACCGTACTATGCAAGGAACTGTGGGTATCCTGCTAGAAACATCAACGTTGATTGATAATCAAATGTGTGATGTCATAGGTCAATAGCCGCTCGTATGAGCCCTGGCTCGAACTCCCACTACAACTGGTCAGATCTTTGAGCAGTGAAGCCATCGGAAGTATAAAAAAACCTTATAGATCTGTATTTTAATCAGATTGTTACGAGCAAGAAGGAAGTGTTATTTTCATTTAAGACGGGATAATCTTTATTAGATGATGCCCTGAACTTTGTTGACAATAAACCCAGTATTTGGATTAAGACTAGTAAATAGAGCTCATCTATTTATAACATTTATTGTTCTAATGTGTATTTTTGTTCTACTTTTTACACTTTTACAGAAAAACAAGTCCGTTTAATTGGTGGCTTTAATGCCAATGAAGGGGCCATACAAGTGAACCGTAACGGTGTTTGGAAATACCTTTGTGATGTAACACCATATTTCCTGGAGTCACTAGCAGGAGATTTAGTATGTAAGGAGTTGGGTTATATATCGGCTGGTATCTCAAATGTTATGATAGATCAGTCAATAGGATATTGGAAATCCAACATAACGTGTAGTCCAGACGATGTTAGCTTGATGGGGTGTAGTAATACAGGATGGTTAGAGACTGAAACATGTGAAACAAAATTGTTCACAACAATATATTGTTTTAAAAATGGTAAATAATTATTTAATCGTCACTCTTAATTTCACCAGATCTAGCAATAGAGACATGAGGCCAGGTTAGCCTATGGTTCAGTATATAATTCCCAATCGTGGTGTCTCAGTGGATAAGGCTCTGGCTCGGTTACCCGGAGGTCCCGGTGTTGCCGGCGAAAGTTTTGAGTTTGTTTATGTGGGGGGGGGGGGTATTGCGCAAACCATAGGTATAAGACCTGACGTTGAGTTACGTATCGTGGTATCGAACCCCGGCATCTGCATGGCAAGGAGTGTGGTCGCCTGCCCACGCTGACCAACATGATGAATATCCTCGTTCTACCTGTTTCTCACACTGCTAAAGACCCCTACGCGCAAGCGTACTATTAAAATAAAATTGAAAATGACCTAGTTTGTGTCGAGTAGACGTTAAACCCTGTCTCTCCTCTTCTATTTCAAAATGATAAAAGATCCACACATCCTTTAGAACACTAGACACCAAGAGCGTACAGATCTTTAGTGTAATCAAATAATATGCTCGAAGTGTTGATCAGTTGGGTAGCTAGAGCTCTGCCCCAGATCGGGTGGTTCTAATGACCTTACTACACACATTAGTTGGGTAACTAGAACGCTGGGGCAGATCGTCGCGGGTGGGGTGCGGAGGGGATTCGGGATTATTGCCTGTAAAAGCTGGATATTAAATCTTGATGTATAGTGATTTAGTGGGTCAGTAAACTAATTATAACTTTGGAGCGGAAAATGAAATGAGATTATGAGATTGGGTTTACTGTTCTGCTCCGATTGGGCTAATGAAAACGTGCATACGCCATACAGTGTGCTATGAGCGAAACTTAATATACCTCGACTATGTTTACACGTTATATCAAATTTGTTTTGTTTACGATCAGGATTTATAATTTCAGTTAAATTTACAAATAGATATAATAGAGGAAGTAATGGACATGTATCTGTCTACAATGCTATCCTGAAGGAATACCAGACAGTTTGTCAGGAAGGTTTCACAGACGCAACAGCCCAGGTATTTTGTAAAGAGTTTGGTTACAAGAGCGGGCGAATATCCTCTTCATCTAGTATCCGCAACGATACGATGATGAACACAATCTATGATTGTACTGGCAGTGAGTCTCTTCTTAGCGATTGTCCAACAGTTCCAGCTTCAGCTAGTTGTACTAATAGCTACCCTGTTGCTCAAGCCACATGTGAGGGAGATCTTACTATAACCGATAAAGGTGAGTCCAGCTATTCATACTAATATTAGGTGAAGACAGGTAATTTTTATTTGTTAAAATGTAATTCATGCTTCTTAAAATAAGCACTGGTTAAACCTTGCTGGTCGGTTGTCTTTATGATTGACATATCTGAACACCTCATAACACTTTAATTGTTAGAATAACTATATAATTTACATCAGAATATATAGTGACATAGAATGCACATTATAAGATATGCCAGTGACAAATGATGTACAGTATAAAATATGCAAGTGACGACACAGGATGTACATTATAATATATACTATATTGATACAGGATGTACATTATACGATATATCAGTGACACCTGATATATATTAGAAGATATGCTAGTGACATGAGTACTAATTCATTTATAAAAATCTTATTTAAAATGTGTACGTTTTTAAATCTTCAGTCAGCAGGATGCCCATTGGATATGGAGTTGTTAAAGTTTATGATGATCAAGGCGAAACTATGACTTTATGTGCCGATGGTTTTAATGAAAACACCGCCAAAGTAGTGTGCCGGGATATGGGTTTTGGTGAAAACGGCGCTCTATTTCCATCGCCATCCAATTTGCACGATATTCGAACTGCTTATAAAGACACCCTAAAGAAATCGTTTAATTGTGTTGGTACAGAAAGTAGATTAAGAGATTGTCCTTCCACTACAAAACAGTTTTGTCCAAATGAAATAGGAGCATCTGTATTATGCCAACCTGATTCTAACTCTACTGGTAAGTTAACGTCTGTTTTAAAAACGAAATCACAGCCTGGACGATTTTGACAATTTTCCCCCAAATAGAACTCTTTACCTTTACAATGTTTGGCTTCTACATCATGAGTAAACAGACAATAGAGCGAATTGTCGAATTGCACATAATATACACAAAGAAAGAAGTTAAGCCCCCTATGTATACCTCACAATGGCTTGTCTTACGAGGTTTGGTGTTGAAACCCCGAAAACATAATCCCAGCAAAACAAATGTGGTTTGCAAAAAATAGATCTTTGACAATAAGAAAGCATGCAGAGTTTTTCCAATCTTGAGTTTTAAATCATGATTTTTTAAATAATTTCAAGATGCTGTATTTGAGCCAAAAAGGAGTCACAGTATATGAAGGTACAGAGTCAGAAACACAATTTAACATCGTGAATGAAGATGAAAAATGTCATTTAGATTCCACAAATGACATTGATGACACAAATCATCAATAGTGGGCAAACCCACCACATGCTCGGATGACAGCTTCCACCAGTCGTCTCACTCCTCTAGTACGTCGTCTGATCTGCTCAATGGCAACTGCTGCCATTTCTATGACGAAATGCATCTAATTGAGTCAGAGTGTGTACATGTAGGTTCAATGCCTGTACTCGTCACCCCAAGTTGTCCGAAACAAGCTCTAACAAATTATGGTCAGGACCTTTTTGCAGGCCACGGCAGGGTCGCCACAGCATCATTGTTTTTCCGAATTATATTATCAGGGTCTCAGCGATAAATCACGCAAGACAAGTTTATCGTGAAAAATACATGGGATGCTTAACATTTTTCTTTCTGTATAATAATACAACATCAGTAAAATCTTTCTGTATAATAATACAACATCAGTAAAATCTTTCTGTATAATAATACAACATCAGTAAAATCTTCTGCATGCAATGACTACACAATACAAACCTGTTAACATCTGTATTACATTGGGGGTGGGGTGCCTTTTGGCTATTACACAAGGCAGAGGGTCGCAGTGTCGAGCTTTGCGTCATGGTTTTTAGTTTTTGTTCCCCTTTGAATTTTTGCGTCCGTCGTAAATGGCAAAAAATCACGCGGTTTCAATGCGGGTTTCAACATTCTAATCATAATTATGATGCCCAACCAGTGTCAAACATATACCGCAGGTCAGATATGCTACAAATCGACTCCAGCATGTTCCACACAGCTTAATATTGCCCTGTGACACTGTGGGGACTGCCACCCCATCTCCTCTCCCGCACCACGCCCCTGACACAAGATAACATATTGAACAATGATTATTTCAGAAGATGGAGTAACACGAATTAATAACTTCAATGGTCCTATAGAATGGGGCGGCGTTGAAGTCATGTATCATGGTATCTGGGGGTCTATCTGTGTAGATCGGTGGGATGATAATGCGGCTAAAGTTATCTGTGGAACCACTTCAACACATGCCAAGGCCATAACTAGATTCATGAGTTTTATTGACGTGACGTGGATATATGATGTTAATTGTACTGGAAAGGAGAACAACCTAAAATCCTGCCAGTTTTCAACAGATGGAACCAAGTTTAACTGTAGTTCGGATCATCAAGCCATCGCCTATTGCTACAATGATAGTAAGATATTTTATGGCAGTGAAATTACTGGACTGCATTTTTTGCATGTGATTAAGTCTGTTATAAATGAAAATACCATTAAAGAAATTTTCTTTAAATGCTATATATCTTATGTGTTTCTATAAGTCAGTTTGTGACAAATATAAATTTATATTCCGTTGATTCTAATTGGTTCCGAATGAGTATAACAGCCACGTACACTGCCCAGGTCCTGTTTTGGACCGCGTGACACGTTGGCTTAGCTTTAAGAGTAGGTTAGGACGTCTCTGCACGAGCAACATTGCACGCATACCCCACTGGATAGTGTATGACCGTCTTTATTAGGTGAAAAGTAGGACGCTAAACCCCGTTTCATTTTGTTTCTATTATTTATGTTCTGTATAGTATACCACGAGTTATACTGAGTGTCATTTATATTGAACTCGTGGGTGACGTATGTGTGAAAATACACACGTGGGCATAAAACACTTTTAACGCCAGTATTATAATATTATGAACTTTTAGACTTCATGTTAATGCGCCCTCTCTCTCCCCCTCTCTCTCTCCCTCTCTCTCTTATGGGACCAACTACGGATATAATATTGTTAATTATAAATCGGTTAATGTTAGTTTAACCAAGACGTGCCCCGTCTAACGTCTATACTAATTGTTGTAAATCATATTCATTTCAGCTTTTAAATACTCTTTATCTGGTGGTGGATCTAACTACGGATATGTCCAGGTGATGAAGGATGGTAACACAGGTTATGTAATTGATTCTAATGGAGCAGATCCAAATAATATGGCTGAAGCTGCATGTAATAGTCTTGGTTTTCATGGTGGTCTACCTTACCAGATGGGTGAAACTTCTGCTACATACTGGTGGGATGTCTCTACTAATCAGCAGTACCCTAGTTTCCCACGTCTTCAACCAGAGAATGCAACGACAAAAACATCACCAGTTCAACAGAAATATCTCTCTGTTTATTGTCACGGAAAAGGTTAGTGTACACGAAAATTAGATAATTTGTATTGGATACAAACGCCCCCGGGGAGCAGCATACAAATAAAAAAACACTTTACTTTTAGTACTTGTCTGCGATATCACTTCGGTGGAAGCGGACGTTAAATAAAGCTATTTCACACACACACTTTTAGTACCACAAACATAGTATACAAATACATAAACCACTTTCAGTGCCAAAAACATAGCATACAAGTACCGAAAACACATAAGTACCACAATGAAAACATAAATCAAGTTATAGTATCAAAGCCAAAGCATACAAATACATAAATCAAACATTAGTACTACAAACATAGCATAAAATTCCCAAATCATATTTGTACCAAAAAGCACAGCATAGAATTCCCAATCACTTTAGTATCCCAAACAAAGCATACGAAAACATAAATCACGCGAGTGCACACAGGGTATATGCAAATACATCAATCACATTTACTACCATAACATGCATAAAACACCGAACAAACGCACGTATATGCATATATACATAAAGCTAGCTACTATGTTAAGATCTAAATTGAATTATATATGTTTTTGATATTTGAATTATATATTTAAAAATATTTCGTAGAAATAATAGCGCTCGGTATCATTATTAGAGATTACTATATTGGGTCTCTTGGCGCCACGGAGGAAGTGCTTAAAGATTTTCCTTCATGGTATTCCTCGTTAGTGACGGAGGGCCTGGTGTGAATGTAAAAGAGCATGTGGCAGTTGGAATACGAAATAAGATTAGGTTGTAGTAGCGCTAGTATCAGGGCAAAACTATTAGTCGGTTTGATGCAGCAATATGGGACTTTAATCCTATTCCATGTCAGTTTGATGTTATTCTTTACGGAATCTTTTAAGGTGTAATTTCCGGCTCTATCAAAGTTTTAGACATACTCTCAATGTTAGAATTGTTTTGTGATTGCAGTGAAACTAGTTGGAAGTTACGGTAGTGTTCTAAAAAAGGGAGATGTTGTACAGTACAAATATAACAAGTTCTATGCCATCTGTGCTGATGGAATTACAAAGACCGAAGGGGATGCCGTATGTCGACAGCTGGGATTCCACCAAGCTGTGGGGGTTAATGAGAGACCTTTTCCTAGTATTACGCCGCTGGGGTTTCACGATTTTAAATGCCCCAAAGGTGCTAACTCTACAGCTGATTGTACGTCACGATTTACTGGTACTGGTGTTGGATGTACGTCAGGAAAAGCTGTCGTTGAATGTGGTGATGGACCAACAGGTGGCTCAAATGGGCGGAACATACAAGGTTTGTGCATCTTCTATTCAGTTTAGAACTTGTAAATAGTGCAGCTTAATAAGTTTGAAATTAGAGTCGGGCGTCACACGCGGGGTATAAACTCCGTCAGCTAAAATATATAAACTATTATGTAACAGAATAAATATGTTCTAAATAATAGCTGTTCCGTAGATGTGGAGTAAAACGTCATCAGATAAATAGAAAAAATACAGAAGATTATGTTATGACGAAAATTATTGACAGAGTTAATGCCCTTGCTTTATAATAATTGTACCTGCCTCCCTTTTATTTTACAATGATAAAGATGTTCATTATTAAATATTAGAGATGGTGTTTTGATCAGAAATATATCCTGTTAACAATAGTCCGAGCGTGACCACATTTTAAGGCATCATCATAATCATTAGAAAATAAACCATTAGAATTTGCGTCCTATCACTTGGATAATAGACTTAAAAAACCCTAACACTTGGCAGGATTTTAAACCTCGGTCAAATGAATTAATGTAGTTGATTACTGTTTGTATTTTGTATGGACCTTTTTCCTATGCAAAACCATCTACATAGCTAATATAAATGAAGAAATGGGTATAAGCATAATTAAATGCACAATACAGAACGTAGTATAACATAGCATATTTTAAATACATAACAATATACTTTGACGATGATAGGTACGATGAAATATAATTAGCTATTGGTTCAAATAGTGTGGTGGTGATAGGCACGATGAAATATTAATTAGCTATGGGTTCAAATACTGTGACAGTGACAGGTACGATATAAGAATATAATTATCTGTTCATTATATTATTGTAATGCAAATTGCATTTATTTTTTTCCAGTTTCTGTGATATTTGTTATGATGTGCCTTGTTCAGATTGTTTTGATGTAACTTCAACAGATGCACGAAAGTTTATAATCAGTTTGTTTTGACCAAATACCAACCAAATATTAATATTAAGTGGATATTTGTTGTATCTTAATGTAAAATTAAGGGTCATAGTTGGTTATTTTAGTACTTGTGATGATAATATTCACAATTCCTCCTTCAAGGATTGTAAATAGTTCAGCCATATTTTGATTTAAGCTAATAATGGCTGAGCGAGATTTGGCTTCGAACCACTCGGCAAACCTCAGCAGATTCCAGTACCCTACATCTAGCCTCGGATGTATGACGAAGTTCGCCATTGGAACTACTTTCAAGTTTCCGGATTACCAACGGCGTTGCCCATGACGACGTCTTTGAAGAATGTTTTATCATACAAATATTTCAGTCTGAAGCTGTTTTTCTTTGAAGGTTATCCGATTTTCTTCAAACAAGGACAACTTTGCACTGAAATTCTACACACGCATCGAACGACGCAATTTTGATAACTTCTTTTTAAAAGCGGCAAGTTTTCCTAATAAGTAAACCGGTGCCGCATCGCAATTGTATAGGCGTAGGTACATATCACTTACCGTCATACAGCCGAGGCTAGATGTAGAGTAACGGAATCTGCCGAGGTTTGTCGAGTGGGCTTCGAACAACCTGTACGTGGTTGAAATTATTGCACACGTCTTGTCAAACTTTCAAAGGCTAATATCGTCGCTCGCAATAGAGTAATTTGAATGAAATTTTCAAATTATTCATTTTACATCATCTATTTTCGAACTATTATACCAAGAATGGCTAGCTCTTTATCTAAATCTTACGTAATGTATCTTTAAATGATATATGTACGCCCTGAACTTTATGTTACACGTTTAAAGATGAATTAGGTAAGAGTTTAATCTTATGGATTCAAATGTTATATAAACTATTATTTAAACATGTATCAACATGCCAAGCCCATGATCAACTATCTTAGCTACTCGGTGGCTCCGATTTTGAATTTTAAGTAGATTAGATAGGTGTGATCATTTGATGATTTAATTTAAAAAAGGCGAGGCGAATCTATGTCTCTTATAACCATAAGCGTTGTTACGATAATGAAAATTTATGCCATGTCAAAACTTCAAACAGTGATATGTTCGCTCACAATAATGTAATTTGAATGAAATATTCAAAATATTCATTACCTATTTTTGAACTATTATAGCAAGAAGGACCCGTTCGCTATCTAAATCTTACATAATGCTTCTTTAAAGAGCCATTATGGGAGATTAAATAAAGAACTGACGTTCTCGCTATAATAGTTAAAAACTAGATAACGTAAAGAAAATATGCTGAAAAAAATTCTGTCAAATTAAACCCAGATATTAGCCTTTGAATTTAAGGCTGGCCTCGATCATCATTACTACGATAAAATTCATATCTAGATTAAGTTATTTGTCATAAAATGTATTCCAATCCGTTAAATATCACAGGATAGTGATGACATCGAGAGTTGAATATAATTTAATCAATATCTAATCAATAATTTAAATAACAATTCAGGCCTGAAGATAGAGCTGTAATAGGCATGTTTGGCTCTTGCATAATGTATGTTACCTAAATATGCTATTTTTCTTCACTTAAATAGTAGCCTACCAACACCGTATTCTTCTACTATCTGGAATTTAATATTATATCCATTTGAGATTATATAGTGTACAGGTAATCTAATAAGCACACGTGGTCTGAAAGGATTCGTGATGCAATTAAATTGAAATAATTTGATAGTGTACTTTGAAATTATGATGAAAGTAAATTTCACAGAATTTTCTACACTTACTATATTATTTTCTTTTGATACTCAGAAATGCAAAAAAAGATTTGATTACAAATGTAATGTATTCGATTAAGATTATATTTTATATACCTGTATAAAATGAAGATGGGGTTTTAAGTTGTAAACGTTGTGCCTTTGTGTCTTTAGAACAATAACATATGTTTAAATAAGACATTGACCCCTACTACTTACTGTACTGTACAATATACTGTACATTGGTGTATATATGCCTTTAATGACACTTTGCCACATTTGGTGACATCAAATTGGCATATTTTGGATGATGTTTTGGTTTGGATCTTGGACTCTATACTATAAGCAAAATAAACAGTGGTTGGACAGGCGACCCTACTCCTTGCCACGTACAACCGGGGATTCGAAACCACGCCAGTCGACTCTATGACAGACTTTATGATACAGCGCGCGCACGCTAACCATTCTGCCATCCAACCCCCGTACGTATCTTCGATGTTTGAAATCAACATATGTTTGAAATCAACATATGAAGTAGTGAATCTTTCAATCATAATGTTTCCATATATTATATCTGAAGCTCATTTAACCTACAATGTATGTTGAACATCAGTAAATAAAGATCGGTGATCTGATCTGGTCATGAACAGGTTCATTCAAGGGTAACTTTTATGTTTTAACCACATTTATTTTTTAGTTTTTTATTTTCTAATTTTTAAGTAACTTTTATGTTTTAGTTTTAGGCACATTTTTTTTTATTATTTTCTTATTTTTTAGTAACTTTTATGAGTTAGCCACATTCTTTATGTAGTTGTTTTATATACATGAACATAAACCATCCGTCTATCAATCTAAGCGTTATGTTGTTATTCAACTGGTCTAGGGGTGTATATTATGACACGCGTGAAATTATTTGCACTGGCTAATACTGTCTCAAATGTGGAGGTTGGGGTGGGGCAGGACTAATGGGCGATAACTCCAAGCATGACACCAGGCCCGGATCCAGGATTTTGTCGGGGGGGGGGGGCATACATTGGAGCAACGGGTAATCATCAGATTGCCGCATGCATTAGTGGTTTGGTGTAGTCCCCAGAGACTTCGTCGCGGCCGCATTAAACAGAAACTAAAATCTGAGAATCCCATTGCTGGCTGCAGGTGCTGGTCTGAACTGTGATGACCAGTCTCACTGCCCCCCGCCCCGCGCATGTAACACGAAAGAAATATGGAAGTATTTTCCTGGTCCATCTGTACATATCTACAAACTGGCATGATATACTCCTATCCATCGATAGCAGAAAGGAAATGAAATAGCATGAGGTTTAACGTCCTACTTTTCTGCACTGATTGGGCTATAAGACGGACGTTGGCCAAGCTGTTTGTTATGCCCCACATTGTGCCCGTGCAGCGGCGCTACAACCGAATTTAAAATGCCAAGATAATTTGAACATGTACACGAAACTTAGGTTTTTCGTATCACTAGAACTACTAGATGGCACACCATATGGAATTTAAGATGAATACACTGAGAGAATATCAAAACAGTCGTGTATACTACGGGCAAATCTTACTTTCACTTTCATACTTTGTTCGTATTGTATATGATATACAGTAGTCCCATGCTTACTCTTTCCGAACACTGGATACGCCTTTGGTTCTGGTTTTGACAAATCCCCCGGTGGATGGTGTCTATACTCGACAACATGCTTACTCTTCCTACATACCGGATTCTGGAACGTCTCTGGGTTTGACATATCCCAATGGTTGTGATGTGTATAATATACTTTATAAACCAATAATACATTCTACAGTAGATATCGCTTGTGTGATACATTTCATAATCTACATGAATTTGATTGGTCAGTTGAAAAGGAACTACTTTTTTTATTTTCAAAGAACAGTTCATTTCTTATTAAAAGTACCTTTTTTTTTTATTAAAAATGAACTATTGTTATTCAATTGAGCTTGATGGAAACACTGGGTAATATAAAGGACTTTGCAATGGTTGAATTGCTGTCAATAAATGATGTATCACTACGCCGTAATGTTCAATAAAAGTGAAATCTACACCAAAGAATTATATTTATCTATTTGTGCATGTAAGAAGGGATTGGGTGATAAATAAAATCTCCTACTCGTCTTTTTTGATATCAAAAAATATCAACACTTGTTGATAAGTAAAAAAAAAAAATCGGCAGAGTCTCGTTTTTTGTTACTTTATCAACTTGTGTTGATATTTTTTGATATCAAAAAAGACTGGTAGGAGATTCTTTATGTATCCTTACTATTCCCTAACACCGGGTACTTCTTTGATGCTGAGAAATCCGATTGGTATAATCTACTAATGTATTTTTGTATTGATGGACCTCGAATTTGGTTGCCATCTCTCTGCATGGTGTGTCCTAACACGTGTTACATTGTTTTAAATTATGTAACATCTCTTGTTACAATCACGTCATCAACGGTCCCACTATCAAATGTATACAATACAAATTTAATAATATAATGGCTAGACCGTTTCTTTTAGAAGTTTTGGAATCGTTGTCCACTAAAATCGATGTAAACAAACCGGGTCCTGCCAAAGGCTTCAATGGGATGTGTATGTTGAATTTCGTTGTTTCTTTTTAATTTCCGGTAATAAAGCTATTGAGAATTATCACTTACAATCATGATATTTGTGTGTGTGGTTCAGAAATTTATAAAACGTGATTTATTATATTTTTAAAACATACATAGCGTGGTAGTGACTGGTACGTTCCCGGACTGAAGAATAAAGACCGCAATTGTGATGTTTTAGAATATTGTCTAGCTAGAATGTAAATTATTTTTTTAAAGGTTTTAATAACTTGAATCTAATCTACCAAATAATCATTGTTCCAATACCTTGATTTGAAATACAATTTACATAGATCTTAAAATAGACCTTTTGAAAATGTCAAAGTGCCACGCCTCTTAATGGTTAAGGCCTATTTTGCTCAATTAAAATCATTTGGTTGTTTTATCCCCAAGACCAATGCTTGCTTTTCGAGGGCTTACTGTATATTTCTCTTGTTTATGTTAAGTTAATTCTCATTAAGATGTAAAATAATAATTTAAGCTATTAAAATTGAATTTCAAATAGGCCTTTAACGTTTTCCAATGAACAGATTTGAGTTCATTGATTTCTTATTTTAAAAAATAAGATAAGCATAACCCCAAAACTTTCTTGTGAATGAATATTTTGCATATGGCTCCTAGTGTCATGTACTGTATTAATGACCTCTATGTCTGTCTAATATTGAAATTAAATAATTGTTTTTTTAATGCAGTTTTATCTTTTTGGTGTATTTTTCTTTTTGAATGTTACTCTGTAAAGTGCACCTGAACATATCTGTCAAAGAGGCGCTATGTAACAGGGAATAGATTGACCGACGTACACCAATATATATTCGACGACTTTAACACGTGTTTAACAATAACGCTTGAAGGACACATGGTGGCAAATTAATAAATGTAACAAACAACAAAGGAATAACAAACTAAAATGTCTGTTTATTTTTGCATTCCGGTCAATAGCCTTTTCAATTGTCTGAAATTAAAACGTTATACGTTACTTTACATGGTGTTATAACTTTAAATATACCAATTACTGGTACATAAAATATATATTTATTTTATAAAACGCCAACATCCCCAAATGTAACCCTTTGAGCATGCTTATGGATGGATTTGACGCTCAAGAAATGGACATTTATATTTGATAATGATGGACATGTAACAATGGGACTTTACATGTAACCCCGTACAAAATGTCCCGGGGAGATAATGATGGCCATGTGGCAGTGGGACTTTACATGTAACCCTGTATAAAATGTTATGGGGGAGATAATGATGGCCATGTAACAGTGGGACTTTACATGAACCCTGTAAAAAATGTTATGTGGAGATAACCACCACTAATAATCTGAACTCTAATAATTTAAACTCTAATAAATCAGTTGTCTTAATTAAATAAACCAATAAAATGGTCTGATTATGATAACCACCACTATTGTTCTAATTATTGAGTTTTCTAAATTATAGAAAACATTAAAATGTATATTTACTTACGGCAGAATGGTTCTCCACATGCTGGGGCTGCAATTGAAAAAAAATAAAGAAATAACAGAATATTAATCTGACCCAAATTTTACGTCACCAAGACAAAATAGAAGAGAGAGCGAGAGAGAGAGAGAGAGAGCACAACATGACATGCGATGGTGTACTAGAGATTAACCAGACAGAGAGCGTAAATATAAGACGGCAATAATAGAAGCATTCACAATAAGCCAAACAACTTTGACAAATTATTGGCATGATAAATGTTGATCAGCAAATTAAACACCCATATTGGGAACCCTCCTACTATCATCTCAAATTCTCGAACAAGCATAAACAGATCAATGATAAACACGTACATCACTTTCTATCGGATTTGGTTCATAAGGTGTTTCACTGAGTCAAGTTGCATGGTTTCGATTTTCCTCGTGTAGGTTACAAGGAGTAGGGTCGCTTGTCAAAACTCGTGGTAGTCCCGAAATGACCTAGTTTGTGTCGAGTGGACGTTAAACCCAATTTCTCTCTTTCTCTCTCAAACTCGTGGCTTTACTACAGGTCCTTCGGTTTTCTGAAAAGCCTCACCTACTGTTAAAGATCTCCACGCGCAAGTGAATTATCGAAATAATACTGATCCATGTGGGTAGGGGATAAATGAAGCACCAGTTTGTGCTACTACCACTCATTAAATCGATTAAATTAGTAATTGCAACCACATCCAAAGCACATGACTTTTAATCAAAGCAATGGGTTGAATTAGATAAGTGTATACTTACCAGAGCAGAAACCGTCGATGCATGGATTACCACTACAGTCAGCGGTAGTATTACACGGTACTGTAAATATTAATCATTGTACTACAAAGTAACATGTTGATAACAAAGATATTAGACAGCCGTATCATATAGGGGTACAATGAACTCAACAACAGTGCTAGCTAAGAGACTAACTCATGTGAGATTAGACAGATGGTGGGGGGGAGGTACAATGTACCTATGCGCAATTGGCTTAGACAGGAATTAAGAATAATGACATAAAGCGCTACGTAATTGTGTCGGTTGGGTCAAGACGTCAGTAGGTTCAGATTTCAACTGATTCAAGTTATGTGTATAAGAACATACTGTCGTCATTAGCCCAGTCGGTGCAGAAGAGTAGGACGTTTAACCCCATATTATTTCTTTGACAAGAACATGTCGAAGAAAACCAAGAAACAGTTGTCGGCAAAAAGGTAGGAAACATCTGATATTTCGTCGTCATGGCATGCCGTGCATTGAGATTCTCTATCGTTGTCATTGCTACATTATGGTGATTTTAAGCTAAGCGCTCATGCACACATTATTGGTTTAAACAAGACTAAAGACAGTGACACGTTCATATTTGTAAATAGCGTTATGGTAAGGGCCAGCAGTGTATGGAGCGGAATATCCCCATAATTCTAACTCCTAACCTAGTAATGCGTATGCTAATATGTAAGTTCCTACTAACACATGTTAAATTGGCTATTTACACATGTACAAATGCTAATTTATATAATTATTGAAATAAAATTAAACCATATGTTAGTCCCGAAATGACCTAGTTTGTGTCGAGTGGACGTTAAACCCCATTTCTCTCTCTCTTTTGGTTTATAAACAATATTTTATATTTTACAGAAGGTTGAATATTGAAGGGGTTTTCGGCTAAACGGCCATAACCTAATTTGATTAAAAAAACCCAAAAAATTGTTAAAAACTATAGCCTGTATGGCGTTCACAATGTTTTCAGAAAAGATCTCTTCGGGGCGCACAAGCTATGTACGCAATTTTCGTTCAACCAGGGGCTAAAATCCAGGAAATTACGGTCAAATATGTGCTAAAATTGAACCTATTCGAGTTTTTGCGGATATAACACACAATTTTAGTTTAAAAATAAATCGAATAAAAATTGTGACCCGCAAGCTATGCGTGCGATTTTCGTATAATCCAAAATGTTATGGTGAGAAAAGTGCCAAAATCGAACCCATATTTGTCTATACTACCGTATGGAAACATTAATGGGAGGGTCACAGTGGCTAAGTAGGTATGGCGCTAGCCTGGAGATCGGGTGTTCGATCCCTGCATTGGCCGAGAAAGTTCATCCAGATTTTCCGGCGCGGTTCCCCCTTGTCAGTGATGCAGAACGGAGGGCCTGACAAGGACGGCTGTCTAGTCGTTCGAATGGAACGAAAAACCGAGGTCCCGTGTACACATTGGAGTACACGTAAAAGATTCCTTGACAGTTGAAATTCGATATAAGAGTAGACCGTAGTGCTGCTGTCCGAGCAAAATTTCCCTCATAGCACACTGTATGGCCTATGCCCGTCTTCATTAGCCCAGTTCGGAGCAGAACAGTAGGACGTTGTGCTGACAATAACCCCGGAACCCCTCAACGGGAGCATAATATGAGACTTTGATGAGAGTGTAAACAATGTAGAACTATACCAATTTTAAATTCGTTTAGTTATGACCCTATAGAATGGGGTCAATAAGGGCGGTGAATCGTTCGCCCAATCCCCAACAGTCTCCCTTGCTGTGCTAATGAAGACGGGCATACACCATGAAGTGTGCAATTTCTGGGGATTTTGTACGGACAGGGGCGCGATGGCCTAGTCTTGGTGCACTGACAAGTGGAAAGCATGCCGGAAAACCTCAGTAACTTTCTCTTCCAACTCCAGGAGGGAACCCGGAACCTCCTGGTAACCGAGTCAGTAACTTACTCACCGAGGCACCGCGGCTCCCGACGATTCGGAAGCCTGGCACGATATAGATTACTTCAATGATATCATAAATACTTTATTTGTGTGCGTAAAATATTTCATAATTTTAAGGGGAAGAGATAAGCTAAACTAAGCATGACCGATTTATATTTATGTATTCAATTTCATGCATGACCTAATGAGTTCTTGCTATAATATTATTCTTTTAGAAAACAAATAGGCCAAAAAATCGACAGTGCATGGTTTGTGAAAAAATAAAATAGCCTATTTATTTATCGCAAATAGTTTAGAATAGTTTGCTTTTGTACGTAAAATATTTTTATTATTTTTGACAAAAAATGTCATGTCTGTCGGGTCAATTGTTCATGTTCCCAATGAGCCACCATACAATTGTAAACAGCGCCGTCTGTTACCAAAATGAACTTAGAATTATGGCGCCTTTACCGCGAAACATTTGTAAAATGTCAAAATGTTAACGAAGCTAAACTGCCTACAATAATTTAAAAGTAATAATGGAAATAGAACAAAATACAAATTCTAACTGCAATATTTAAAAAATAAGTCATATAAATTAGCATTTTACATGTGTAAATAGCCAATTTAACATGTGTTAGTAAGAAGTTACATGCATAGAAGTAAGCATATTAGCATACGCATAACTAGGTTAGGAGTTAGAATTATGGGGGAAATTCCGCTCCATAGCAGTGGGGTTAGCATGACATTAACAACCAGCGGCTGCCAGGCAGGATACGCCCACTTTTTGCGAGAGATGGATAGAGAACAAGCTAAAATCAAACGGGATTTTTTGTACAATCAGGGGCAATAATCCAGAAAGTAATGGTCCGAAATGTTCAAATATTAAAAGGGACTGGGATCCTTGGGATATAAAGATGTGTTTTAAGTTTCATCAAAATAGGATAAAAATTGTGACCTCTAGAGGGTCCAAAACTTTAGTAATGCATACTTTTACATAATTTGCGTACAAAGAGTTTCATTTCGATTTTCCCGAAATTCGAATTCAACATTCATTGGTGGAATGGTGATATATTTAAACGGTTTTTAAAATCCGAACTCAATCAAAATTACGGTGCAACGGTGATATATTCGAACTTTTTTTTTAAATCGGGTAATAATTGTGACCTCTAGAGGGAGCACAAGCTAAAAACGTGATTTTTCGTACAATCAGGGTGAATAATTCAGGAAGTTATGATCCGATACGCACTAATATCGAAAGGAACCAATATCTTTGGGTTATAAACATGTATTTCAAGTTTTATCAAAATCGGATCAAAATTGTGACCTCTAGAGGGTCCACAACTTTGATATACCAGATGTTATACACTATTTGCGTACGAGGGGCGGCCATTTTGTCCGGCAGTTTTAGTCCGATTTTCGCTAAATATGAAATCAGCCAAAATTACGGCGTAACCGTGATATATTTGAACGTTTTTCTATAAATCGGATAATAATTCTGACCCCTAGAGGGACGTGATGCCAAAAAAGCGTACAATTAGGGGCAATAATTCAGGAAATTACGATCCGATGTGCGCGAATATCGAAACTAACCAAGATCTTTGGGTTATAAACTTACATTTCAAGTTTCATCAAAATCAGAAGAAAATTGTGACCTCTAGCGGGTCAACAACATTGATATACCATATTTTTACGCAATTTGAGTACGATGGGCGGCCATTTTGTCTGTCAGTTTTGGTCCGATTTTTACAATATTCAAATCCAACCATCCTTAGGGTTTAACGATGATAATATATACAAATGTTTTTTTTAAATCGGATAAAAATTATGACCTCTATAGGGCCCACAAGCTAAAAACGCGATTTTTCGTACAGAGTCCATAATTCAGGAAGTTACGGTCCGATATGCGCGAATATCGAAAGGAATCGATATCGCTGGGTTATAAACTTTCATTTCAAGTTTCATCAAAGTCAGAAGAAAATTGTCACCTCTAGAGAGTCCACAACATTCATATACCACATTTTTACGCTATTTGTGTAAGAGGGGTGGCCATTTTGTCTGTCAGTTTTTGTCTGATTTTTACGAAATTCGAATTCAACCATCCTTAGGGTGTAACGGTGATATATTCAAACGGCTTTTGAAATCGGATAAAAATTATAACTTCTATAGGGTCCACAAGCTAAAAACGCGATTTTCCGTACATTCAGGGGCTATAATTCAGGAAGTTACGGTCCGATATGTGCGAATATCGAACGGAACTGAGATCTTTGGGTTATAAACTTACATGTCGAGTTTCATTAACATCAGAAGAAAATTGTGACCTCTACAGAGTCCACAAGCTTGATATATCATATTTGTACGCTATTTGAGTACGAGGGGCGGCCATTTTGTCTGTCAGTTTTGGTCCGATTTTTACGAAATTCGAACTCAGTCATCCTTAGAGAGTAACGGTGATATATTCAAACGATTTTTTTAATCGGATAAAAATCATGACCTCTATAAGGTCCACTGGCTAAAAACGCGATTTTTTGTACAATCAGGGGTCATAATTCAGGAAGTTATTTTCCGATATGCGCGAATATCGAAAGGGTTCGAAACCTTTGGGTTATAAAATTATATTTCAAGTTTCAACGAAATCGGAAAACAATTGTGACCTCTATAGGGTCCACAATCCATGCAGTACGCGATTGTACGCGATTTACGTACAATCAAGGGCCATAATCCATGAAGTTATTGTCCGATACATACCAATATCGAAAGGAACCGCGATCTTAGGGAGATAAACCTATATTTCAAGTTTCTTTGAAATCGGATAAGAATTGTGACCTGTAGACCGTCCACAAACAATTGTGGACGGACGTACGGACTTCCGGACGGACAAGGGCGACGACAATATACGTCCCCATGAAAATGTGGGCGTATAAAAATGAAATGAGATTTAACGTCCTACTGTTCTGTACCGACTGTGCTAATGAAGACGGACATACGCCATACAGTGTGCTATGAGAGAAATTTTGCCAGGACAGCGGCACTATGGCCTACTCTTATATCGAATTCCAACTCAGTGAAATAAGAATGTTATGAATTCTATACCTTTCTCAGTGAAAATATATAACATAACACCATGTGGTAATGATGCTAATTGAACTGTCTGAGCCCCTGTATTCATTTGATACATATCTTGTTGTCACCTATCTATAACATAATAAAAACTGGTATATTTACCGTTGCACGTGTTTGTTGATCTGTCACAGGTACCACCGGCACATAAACCATTATCACACTGGGCTGAAATAGAAAACATATAACGATATGAAATCTATAGAAACTAATGTAAACCATACAAAGCAATAGTTCACATAATATTGTAGCGTTTCTAACGATTTCAACCTATTTAATCATTTACACGCTTTCTGATTGCCCTCCTGGTAATAAATATCTATTATTGCTATTATTATAAATAGCTTTGACCGAGGCTAATTAATCTGCTTGGTATATTGGAATGTGATAAGATGGGGCGTCTGTTGCATGACATTAACTTTAAGTAATCTTTATAAATCTGACCAAACTGTTCATGCTAATAACCTTAAATATTATGCTTGCCACCGCCCACTGTCCTAACGCCAGATACGTAACCATAGAATACAAAATTACCATTCGTTTGTTACCATGGCGAGACATAAAAGCAAATGGAACAACACCTAAGTGTAAGTGTTTCATATAGGCACCGTTTTACGTTAACATTATTCTATTTAATTGTACACCTTTCTAGAAATGGATAGAGGCATAGCTGCCTGGGAGTTAGTCTAAGAAAGTAGTAGAATAATGCGAGGTACTTCATTAACCCAGTTTTCGTCATGTAGGTAACGAATTTCTATATTAAAACAGAACATCATTTAGGGTACTTAAATTACCTCTACAAAGTATTACACCAATGTGAACACGCGACCTCGGCTTTTCGTATCATCTGACGGATGTGAGTGTCTGTTGAGTTTAATTGTGAGGTCAAGCCCCAAAGTACTGCTGTGATTTTGAAACGGATTTGCTGTTTAATTTGTTTACAATTGCTTCTCTAGCCCAGTGTTCGTCACACATCATGTAGGTAACGAATTTCTATATTAAACAGAACATCACTTAGGGAACTTAAATTACCTCTACATTGTTGCCGTGTAAGAGGTTCTAAGCTTAATAGAAACTATTATGTACGGCTTGTGCCTATGAATCTATGCTTGATATACAACTCATTTTAGAAGAACGACGTGTTCATGAGTTACAAATGAGTTATATTGAAGTCATATTAGGTCCGTGAGAAAGTCATATTTAACACAACGTGAAGCAAAATACATCGGACTACCTATTCTTTTTGGTACCGTATGGCAGACAGTGTAATGTATAGTCGTGTTATAGTAAGGACGTATAAAACAAACTCGTTCTCGAGTATATCAATTTAACGTGTTTAACATCCCACTCATAAACCCATAATAGTGTTAATATTTTCACATTTTACTGACCTCTACAGACGCCATTTATACAGTTTATATGCAAAGGACAATGTCCAGAACCACATGATTGGCCTGTAAGAACAAAAACAACCCTGTTAGAACAGTCGGATTAACTTAAATGGTCAGAAACAATGTTTATTATCATAACAACGGTAGCCATGACTCCATTATTCTCCAAACAGTCATAACTTCGCTAAGAATAATGTAATTTGGTACTGAAATTTTCAATACATTCATTTTCTATTATCTATTTTTAAACCATAAACTACTATAGCGAGGACTTTCAGGTCTTTATCTAAATTTTACATACTGCATTTTTAATATATCATTGTAACTATTTGTATAAAAACATGCAGATGTGGCATACATTGTTCAGAGGCATAACAAACAACGGTTGTACAATAATGCAGTATTTAAAACAGTCGCTGGAAATAATAAGTAAAACATAGTTTGCCAGTCAATGGAATATTCAGAGTAGAACAATTGTTAACACAATTTGTGGAGGATGCAGCTGGCCTATAATTTATTTTCTGACAGTAGCCTATATACTGACAGTATAATATATGAGCTTAAATTTAAAATTTATTATAGAGTATCTCTCTTTTAATTTTTCAAACCACATGTGAACTACAGGCCACGAGATGTTCTCCAGTGACGACTTTGATCTATTAGTGTCCTATATTTTCATTATAACAGTTATTTGCTGCTTAGTCAACCATATCAACCTTACAGTGATATACTATATACTGAAAATCTATCTAAATAAAATCAAAGTGTGTATGTATGTATCTGTGTATGTTCGCCCATCACATTTCGACCCACCCCCCACATATGCGGTATCAAATTAACTAGCATGACACCATGATGTCAACGAGGCGCGAAGGGCTGGTCTCCATCAACAAACACTTACGCTTCTCATTCTCTTTGTTCGAGAATTTCAAGTTATATGCTTACGAACGTGATTTTAATAATACTATTATGTCTATCAAGATACAGCATTTGTGTTATCTTTCTATGTTAAAACATATGTTAGATTCAGTTCGTGAACTAAGTAATTGATAAATTTAAACTTTTACAATAGCATTCTCCTTTAAGATAATTTATTAGTTAAACACAGTCAAAAATCAATGTTGGGCTGTTTTACTGCAATTAACGGTTGACGAGAGGTAATATACTATATATAATATACATGTACTAATATACTAATTAATATATAGTTAATAACACATACTGACAATATATTATATACTGACAATACAATATAATATATACTGACAATATAATATAGCCTCACAATACAATATAATATAGTTTGACAATATAATATAGCCTGACAATATAATATAGTATAGCCTGACAATATAATATAGTATAGCCTGGCAATATAATACAGACTGTCAAGGATACCGATATGCAGCTATAAATACCAATTTGTAAATTATGTTAATATTCATATTCACTGTTTGCCCGTTTTAGATTCTGGGGATCAAAAGATTTAGCTTGAATTCAATTTTTTGGTGCAACTGCTTGAGTAATGACCTTACATACCCAACGCGTAACACAGTTTGTGAGTTTTATAGTGTGATGAATTGAGAGCAAGAATCCTATCGATAATAAGCATTCCGCGAACTTCAGTTCCGGAGTTAAGCCCCCCGAAAACACCGTGAAAGCGATAGACGGTACCGTTTTAACCGTGTTTTTTTTTTATTTCAAATATGGTGTGAAACGTTGGGGTCATGGGACGACAAAACCTACCGATATTCACCATCCGTGACCTTCCCTTCTCGAGTTAACAAACTTGTCCAAAAACCCTTTGAACGCGATATAGGTTTCAGGTTCATCTTCGATATGAGACATTGGGCGATCTCTTACAAAATCTCGCCGTATCGTGTATAGCAGCCGCTTGTTTGGTTATAAACGTGTAAGATTGGTGATAATTCAGGAAGTTTTTACTCCACTTCTGGTGAGCCTTTTTGGTCACGAACAATTGGTCACGATTTCAGAAGGTTTATTCTGATATAATAGAGCTGATATAGGCGATCGAAGAAGGTAAATTAAACATATCAAGTTAGGTTTTGCACATTTTGTCGAAACCCAAAGGGGGCGGAGAAATACCTATCAATAAGAGAGTGAGAGAGATGGGGTTTAAGGTCCACTCGACACATACTAGATCATTTCGGGACTAACATATGTTTTTTTAAATTTTATTCAATAATTCGTTTGCGCGTAGGGCTCTTTAGCAGTGGGAGGAAACTGGAGGACCCGGAGAAAACCCACGAGGTTGGACAGGCGACCCTACTCCTCGTCACGTACAACCGGGGATTCGAAACCACCCTAGTTGACTCAATGACAGGCTTTATGATACAGCGCGCACGTGCTAACCATTCGGCCATCCAACCCCACCCCCTTTTAAACAAACCTTGGAATATAATTCTATATACAGGTATTACAACCAAGTATAGCCTATAATATATAGTTACAGACTGTAAGTGTAACACGACAAAATAGTATGGCGACTACACGGCATCACTTTACAGACACTGACTATTGCTTTATTAAGAGATTGCAGTCTGTACGTGTTGTCACTGTAATATTCGATTATTTTTTTAATACAAATTGTGTTAGATAATTAAAATATGCTTGGTAAGAAAGGTGGTAGAATACTAGACTGAAGACTAAGATTATTTACTAACCGTTTGTTTCACAGAACACTACTTCACAAGTACCACCATTCATATCACACTGTGTTTTATTGCATACCCGATCTGTAAAATATTAATTGATAAGTATTATAGTATCGATAAAATAATGTGTAATTCCAATTATGATTAAACAACATACTTTAATTAAACAGTGTATATCCATTTTGTATTTGCCAAAGAGGTATTTCATTAGGACTACAGGGTGTTTCTGTCGAAGTGTATTCCTACCACTTTGTGTACACCAAATATTTTTAGTATGAAAATAGGAATGTGTTGTGTGTCCTCGTACACACCCGGGTTTAACTGTATGCATTTAACGATTAATTCAGATCAGGCCATATTGGACCACATTAAAGTTGTTGTATTTTCCGATTGGCATAGCAGGGAGAACGCGTGTCATTGCCACGGCTGAATTTTCAAACATTTCTCCTAACGGTCGCGTCTCCATGGATCGTAAACGATTGATTGGTTGATATTATAGTCATCTCCAAGTAAACAATAAATTGTTGTGACAGAATAAACGGGGAGTGGGGAATAACTCTGGTACCAAACATCTGAAGGTCTCTAATTATCACATAACCTTTAAAATTTAAAAGAAATCCGTCAAAACCCCTTGTGTCTTTCGCGATAACGAGGTAGCGACGGACTAACCATGGTACCAAACGACACAAGGTACCCAATCACCATATATTTAAAAGAAATGCGTCAATAACCTTGGTCTCTGTCGCAATAACTAACAATTATTGGACATTCTTATGACCACAATTTACCTTGATTGGTTATTTCTTCTTGTTTTGATATGTTCTTTATATTATTTTCATCCAGATTGTTCGCTCTGTGTCGTGATGGTGGTATTATGTCATGTTTTCTGGTGTAGTTTTTAGAAGTTGTTTGAATTATCCCTTTATAAATTAAATAAAAAAACAAACCAATTTCATAATGTGTGTAGTCCAGTATATCAAAGTAAAAGAGTCATAATGATGTAGCATGGCATGAGGCCAAGAGAACGACCCGTAATAGGCAGATTTATCTCTTTCATAATGTATATTTAATAAGTCTGTATTGTTAGCTGATTTATAACGTCACCATGGTTATAAGGCTCTCTTAGTGATACACGTAGCTATGGCGGGTATAAGACTATAATGGTTATACGGTCATATCTAACAATATTAGGGCCTCGGTGTAATATTTGTTCCAAATTCATGAGCAAGTACACCAACTGACATGAAGTATAATTTGATAAACACGTATATCATGTGTCTTCTTCATTGTCAAAATATGTATAAATCATAACGATTTGTGTCTGTTTATTTGAAACGAAATTAATTCGTTATCAGTATTATAAGAATAACAGGACACGAAGGCTAGAGTCAAGGCTAGTTTGTTATTGTTTAAAATACACTTGAGGGGAAATTACTGTGACGTCATTAGGCATGTACGTATAACCAATCATATAATTAATTGAATAAATTTAGGCAATTGAATAATTAATAGCAGTGGTCTCGCTTCAAGATGAAATATGATAGTCTGCTACTAATGGGTGTTGAAGCTCTTTATTATTTAATGCTTGTAAACAGGACAAAGAATCAGAAAAGATTATATGTTTTAAATGTGATGATAATTCAATGAAGTAAAAATAGAAGTCAGTAAAAATAGAAGTCGCAGATGGAAAACGAACGGAAATGGTCTCGGATGGCGTGACGTTAGCCGAAGCTACCCGATCACCATCTTTCGAACCATCGGTATAAATTTGAGTATAATCACCATACTTAGACCTTAGCTATCTAAAGAGCGACTGCAACACCGTAGGGCTAGTATCTCTTTTTATGTTGAGTAAGATCGAAATCGATCTTTGGGGAGATATAGCCCACGGTGGTATTCGCAATACTGCCATGGCTGATACCAGTCTCAGACAAAAGGGGTTGTATGCGAATACCGAATGGTGGATTAACTTTAGTCTTGAGCAGATATAAATGCTCATGATATGGTCTACTTATGGTGTTAAATGGAATATGTTTTGGTAAAGCATACTGCAGGGTCAGTATATCATGTCTGTTGTGCAGTGAGGGCTCATGCGCCTCGACGTATAAACTGTCTACTGGATATGTATGAAATGCTCCTAAACTGATTCGAAATCCCTGGTTGTGTATGGTGTCGAGCTCTTTGACATAAGACTCCCGGGCACACCCATACACCCATAATCGAGTTTAGACCTTACGGTCTGCTCCCCAGTCAGTATTTGATAAGACTCTCAATATGTTGAGGGCTTTCAGACATTCCTTTTTAGGCTTTTAATGTGGGGGATAAATGATAATTTATCAAAAATTTGGTTTCGTCTACAATTGGAAGGCGACTGGATCAAGTTGCAAACCTCGTTTCTGACAGAAATGCATGCAGACAGTCTTGGATTTCGAAAAACCAAATCCATTTTCGGTTGCCCATTGTTGAAGTGAATTCAAACAATGCTGCAATAAAACAATCCGCATGTCTGTACTACCATAGCACATCTGAAAGTCGTCAACATAAAGAGATAAAACAGTTCCCCAATTATCCCCATTTCCCGAGGAAATGGGTCAGAAAATATTGATCCCAGTCGTACCTTAAATCACCTATCTCCAGGAAATTTTAATGAAGACAGGAAAGATACCTCGTAGGCCGAGGTTATGGAGGTCGCGCATGATACCATGTTTCCATGTAGTATCATAAGCTTTCTCCAGATCGAAAAATATTGCAGCTAAATGTTGTGTCTGGATGAAAGCGTCCCGGACGAACGTTTCAAATGGAAAGAGGTGACGAAGAGTGCTCATTATTTTGGAACCGAAATAGACATTGGAGGTTGTTGGACTCAAGGTACCAAACAAGCCTTCGATTGATCAATCACTCCATGGTTTTACAATTACATCTAGTTAAAGCGATCGGACGATAGTTGGTAGGATTCGTATGATCTTTACCCGGTTTAGGGAATGGGAGTTATTGTGGCTTCATGCGATAAGGAGAGAGAAATTTCCATCAACTCAAATCCGGTTAAAAGACCCAGTAAGATTAAGAGTGTTGAAAAATGTAAATCGTCATTATACCATGGTTTATTGAAACGTTTTGGTTCAGGCGTTTTTTGTGGAATCGCCTGCTATGGGCTCATGTGCATCTTCTAACCCCTTTGCACCAAACGAGAAGAGACATAAAGATTTGAAAATAGCCCAGTCAGCCTTATGCAACTTCCACCGCTGGGGTGTTTCGACCGGAGAGGGGCCATTATTATTAATCAAGATAGGAAAGTGGTCACTACCACATAAATCTTCGTGTATTCCCCTTGTACAGTCCTGATACAGGGTCGGAGAGCAAATGGCGAGATCCAGGGAAGAAAAAGAAGCTGTATAAAAGGTTCTGGGGAGATAACTATGGAATTATAACGTTGCCAATATTATTTCAATGTACACGGTGCTAAATACATGTGTCCGCAGTTCAAAATATGTATTTTAGATTTACAATTTGCAATTTCCATTGCACCACAATGCCAATGTCACAGTGTTAAAATACAGAATACACTTTTCAATAATACAAAGTACAGTATAATAGTTATTTTGCCCATTACTGTTATTTTGTACAGTGGACATTGTCATTAATGTTGACAACGTTATCCTTCCATAGATAACCATCACTATTGTTCTAATACCTCAGTTTTCTAAATTAGAGAAAACAATAAAATGTATATTTACTTACTGCAAATCTGTTCTTCACATAATGGGGCTGCAATTGAACAAAATTGAAATATTAATCCGTTACAAACAAAAATAGTTATCAGAGTTATCCTAAAAACTCGTTTATTGTCAACTAGGGATTAAACTGTTAGAAGATAACCATGGTGACAGTGATCTACACCAATACGACCGTTTGTATATATATATATATATATATATATATATATATATATATAACTACTAGGTAACCATGGTGACAATGATCTAGACCAATACGAATATATTGTTTGTATATATATATTTAATATATAACAACTACTAGGTATACTTTTTACACTAAAGTCATTAAGAAAGTGAATTAAGGAAATAGGGCATTTTCCTTAACGATTTATTAAAATATACAGTAACGTTCGTTCAAGTTGGTAATGTTTACATGTAGCACTCAGTACCGCCATAAATTATTCGGGGCTACATATGGTGGCAAATTATTGGCATGATAAATGTTCATCAGCAAATTGGACACCAAGTTGGGCGACCTCATGCCATCATTTCAAATTCCTGAACAAGATCAATGATGGTAAAGACCGACCAATATCTTGAGGACCTCCGATAAACACGTACATCACTTTCTATCGGAATTAGCACCACTCTGGGCTACTACTACTCAATAAATTGATTAAATTAGTAATGGCAGCCACATCGAACACAGATGACTTTTAATCAAAGCAGTGGGTTGTTGGGTTGAATTACAAAATTGTATACTTACTATAGCAGGTACCCCCGATACATTGAAATCCAGTACAGTCAGCGGGAGTATCACACGGAACTGTAAATATTAATCATTATTTCACATCAACAAAGTAACATGTTGATACCAAGGATATTAGACTGTCATATCATATAGGGATACATTGAACTCTGTTTTTTTTTATCCTCTAAAATTTGTCAAGGTTTCTTTTCAGTTCGCATATGGGGGGGGGGATACATCAATTCACCTATGCTCAATCAAAGACGATGTAATTAGACATTTATGGCCGTATGGTTATGTGGTGGGTCTGATTTTGTGATTTGGAAATGAGCAAATATTTATGTCAGTGCTGGACTGTAGGGGAATTTAAAATACTGAAATAAAGAGCTACGTAATTGTGTCGGTAGGGTCAAGATGTCAGTAGTTCAGATTGCAACTGATTCAAGAGTATGTATATAAGAACATACTGTCGTCATGAGCCCAGTCGGTGCTGAACCGTAGGACGTTAAATCCCATATAATTTCACTGACAAGAACACATCGAGGAAAACTAAGGAACAGTTGTCGGCAACAAGGTAGGAAACATCTGATATTTCGTCGTCATGGCATGCCGTGCATTGAGATTCTCTATCGCTGTCATTGCTACATTATGGTGATTTTAATTCAAGCGCTCATTCATACAATTATTGGTTTAAACTAAAGAGAGTGGGCTGTTCAGATTTCTAAATAGCGTTATGGTAAGGGCCAGCAGTGGGGTTAGCCAGGACAGCGGCCCTATGGCCTACTCTTGTATCGAATTCCACCTCAGTGAGATAAGAATGTTCTGAAAATATATAACTTAACACCATGTTGTAATGATACTAATGGAACTGTTTGAGCTCTTGTATTCATTTGGTACATATCGTGTTGTCACCTATCTGTAACATAATAAAAATAACTGGCATATTTACCGTTGCACGTGCCTGTTACTGTGTCACAAGAACCACCTGTACATTTATGATTATGCCCACACGGTACTGAAATAGAAAACATATAACGATATGAAATACTAGACGATCACAAAGCTAATAAATATGTAGCAGAGGAGAGAGTATGCGTCACATACTTAATTGTGACTTAGGTTTCAATTTTATTATATAAGTAGTACATAAAAGTTAATATTCGAACACAATGGTATTGAAGTATGAGAATGTCCAGATTTCCTCGTTCCTTTTAGAAATGAAATGAATTGAAATGCGATTTAACGTCCTACTCCGGCTTGGTCAATAAATACGGGCATACGCCATAAAGACCTATATCGAATTCAAACTGCAAAGGGATCTTCTACGTGCACGCTAATGTGACACTAACGGTATTTTTCAAATGTGGCAATAAAAATTAACTCCGACTTCCACGTTGTGTATAAAACTTCAATGATCAAATAACTCTGACACACTGTTTTTATAACTATGTTTAAATATGAAATACAGCAAACTACAACATCTATGACAGTACGTTATGAGTTATTATAATATCTACAGTATCAGTTTAACAAGCCCAGAACTCAGACCTAACGGCTGAAACGCTACATGTTGTCTCTGTCCTGGCCTCTAACCAAGAACCATGTATTATGTCTGAATCCCGGCCTCTAAGCCGAGGCCGCTACACTTTCACCCGTGATCGCTCTATGATGCCCCTCTACGAACTCCAAATGATGTCTGAAGATTAATTTAACCTCGCTCGTTCTTATATACAAAGTATAGATACGTCAGCTATATGGACGGAACAGTTACAACTTGTTTTTGTTAAGTGTTTCGTATGGGCATCATTTTACGTTAACATTATTCTATTTAATTGTACCTCTACAACAGATGCCTGAACGATAGTAACACCCTTCCAGAAATGGATACTGGCATAAATATCAATGAGTTAGTCTAAGAAAGTAGTAGAATAATGCGAGGTACTTCATTAGCCTAGTTTTCGTCACACATCATGTAGGTAACGAATTTCTATATTAAACAGAGCATCATTTAGAGAACTTAAATAACCTCTACTTAGTATTACACTAACGTGTACACGGGACCTCGGTTTTTCGTGTCATCCGATTGACGGAAGTGTCTGTCGAGTTTAATTGAGAGGTCAAGCCCCAAAGTACAGCTGTGATTTTGAAACGTATTTGCTGTTTAATTTGTCTACAATTGTATCTTTAACTATCAGTAAAAGCACATTTTTTACCGTGTAAGAGCTAAATAGAAACTATTATTTGCGGCTTGTGTCTATTAATCTGTGCTTGATATACAACGTGAACGACGTGTACATGAGTTACAAATGAGTTATATTGAAGTCATATTAAGTCCGCGGAGAAGTCCAATTTAACACAACGTGCGTGACGCAAATACATCGAACTACCTATTCGTCACGGTCATAACACAAGTGATAATTATTTAAACAACATTAGCCCCGGGAAGAAAGTGGGTGATCGAACGGTAAACATGATAAGCATGATTCAGTATAGGTCCAATATACATTTATTATTCAAGTTGTTTATTGAGGATCAAGATTGGAAAACACTGGTAGTCAGAGTTAAAGCCGATGTTAAAGTCAATTGGGTATCTCTATTTCAAGTAAAGAGGCCCATATCCAGGTGAAACTTTAACGATCTGCAAATTATGAAGAAAGTTATGCCTAAACAAGTTCATTCTTTCTATGATGTACTGATCTATGAGTAGCCTAATTATTGCTTCAAGCTTGTTACAAGTTCAAGAATAAAGATGTTTGAGTGAAATGTGTCTGTTACATTAAATACTACATGCATTATATTTTAAAATTTCTACCTATACAGTTTGAATTTGACAAAAGACCCAGGGGAGGATACGGGATTTTTGCAAAGGGGTTAGCGCAAATGAGATTCTTGTCAAGCGCAGCGATGCAAACAGTTTTTTTTTACCTTTTCTTACGATATTTCCAAACACGGTAAAATGGTCTAAAATGTACAAATTGTTACATTTTACATTAAAACAGTTTGTGGTAATTCCGTTTCATATGTCTGTAGCGTAGTTTGGATTATTTACCGATATATGGAAACACCCATCATTCCTGGCAAAGAGATATCAGAAGAACCCCGAACGAACAACTGTAGTACTTTAAAAGCTTTGAAGCTTAGCATGTGCATTTTATGTTAATATGTATAAAAGAACAGCTGAGCGGAGCGATGCAAAACAATTTTCTAAAAATAATAGTAATATATTAATTTTCCAACTTATCGGCCAACGCCCTGCTCCTTTTGTGAGCCGTAGTTGAAATCCCCAATACATGAAGACAAAAAGACAATATTGTCCGACAGCCCAGAATAGTTGGGAAAATATAGTATAACCAGAACGTGTACCCCTACACACTCCTGTATATCTGCACCTGGGACTGTTATCAATATCCCTGTCTTGTGTATGAATGACTATTCCCCAAAAATAAGCAAACTTCTTCCCATATTTCAACGATAATGAGAGGTGCTTAGGAAGTAAATAGTTAATTATTTTGTCGCTCAAGTCTGAAATGGCTAAATATATACTCTTCAAAATACAGGGGATATTCAGAAACAAAACAAAACTGCGGAAATGCACTGCTGCTTTTATTAAAGGTAACCAGTGTATGTTAATAACAGGCCATTTGCCTATACATAAACAGATCATATGGGCGGCTTATCTGCTGGCCTCATTTCACACGCAAAGAGATACACTGTCTAAAAGTGAAAATGAACGGTTTTGATTTTTGTCTTAATAATGAGTAATTTGAAGAGTAATATTTTCTCAAGTCAGTGCTCAACTCAAAACTATATATATCACAGTTGCTTAAGTCATTTGTCTCTGCATGTATTGACCTTGCAGTAAACCGCCCCTGTTGAGATAAATAAGGCTTTGAACACAAAAACTGTATCCTGTATCCTCTAGCACATGTAGGGAAGTATATTTCGCTATCTTAAAACATTAAAAAATGAGTTGAGCACTGTGTTATGATCGTGACGTATTCTTTTTGGTGCCGTATTGCAAACAGTGTAATGTATAGTCGTTTTAAAGTAAGGACGTATAAAACAGAACGGTTCTCAAGAATATCAATTTTACATTTTTTAACATCCCACTCATAAACCCAAAATTGTTAATATTATCACATTTTACTGACCTCTACAGACGTCATTTATACACTTTGCATTGAAAGGACAATGTCCAGAACCACATGATTCGCCTGAAATAACAAAAACAATCGGATTAACTTAAATTGTAACTTTCAACTTTAGTAAATCATTGCCCTGTCCTGGATCAGAAACTATGTTTATTATCATGACTGAAAGTTTCAATACATCCTTTTTTCATTATATATTTTTAAACTATTTTAGCGAGAACTGTCAGGTCTAAATTTTACATACTGCGTCTTTAATATATTATTGTAACTATTTGTCAACAAACATGCCGATCTAGCATACCTTGTTCAACGAAATAACCAAAACGGGCTGTACGGAATGCAGTATATTCAACAGTATCTGAATAAAATAAGTAAAACATAGTTTGTCAGTCAACAGAATAATCAGTGTAGAACAATTTTCACACTGTGTAGGCCACTATTTCGATCATGATGCCTACATTGTTAACACACGTTGTGGAGGATGCAGCTGGCCTATAATTCATTTTCGACATAACACATAATTGATGTTGTCTCGAGACCAAGATAAATACTATAATATACACTGTAATATATACTGACAGGATACTACATGCTTACAGGATACTATATACTGACGGTATACTATATACTGACAGGATACTACATGCTTACAGGGTGATATATACTGACAGACTGTACGTTTAACACAATGACAAAATAGTATGGCGATTACACGCATCACTTTACAGACACTGACTATATTGCGTTATTAAGGGGTTGGTGTTTATGTGTTATCACTGCTCCAATACGATAAAATATATAATATAATAATCAATGATTTGTTTAATACAAATTGTGTTAGATAGTTAAAATATGTTTGGTAAGACAGATGGTAAAATACTAGACTCAAAGACTAGGAGTTTTTACTAACCGGTTCTTTTACACTTATATACAAAACAAATACCACCATTCATTTCACACTGTGTTTTATTGCATGCCCGGTCTGTAAAATATTAATTGATACGTATTATAGTATATAAATTCTTATCGATAAAATAATGCCCATTTATGATTAAATAACAAACGTTAATTAAAAAGTGTATGTCCTTTTTGTATTTGTCAAAGAGGTATTTCATTAGGAGTACAGGTTGTTCTTGACGACGTGTATGCCTACAACTTTGTGTACACCAAATATATTTTTAGTATGAAAATAGGGATGTGTTGTGTGTCCTCGTACACACCCAGATTTAACTGTGGGTATTTAACAGACCCCCACACCCCGCGAAAACCGGCACTTAACGATTAATTCAGATCAGGCCATATTAGACCACAATGAAGTTGTTGTTTTTACGGACTGACATAGCAGGGAAAACGTGTGTGAAAGCGACGGTTGAATTTTCAAACTTTTCTCCCAAAGGTCGCGTTTCCATGGTCAGTAAACGATTGATTGGTTGATAACTCTGATACCAAACGTCTGACGGACTGACATAGCAGGGAAAACGTGTGTGAAAGCGACGGTTGAATTTTCAAACTTTTCTCCCAAAGGTCGCGTTTCCATGGTCAGTAAACGATTGATTGGTTGATAACTCTGATACCAAACGTCTGACGGTCTGCAATCATCACATCGCATTTAAAAGAAACCCGTCAAAGCCCCTTGCGTCTTTCGCGATAACGAGCAACCGACTCTCAGGGGCGATAACTTCATAATGACTGTAGCAGCTAGTCTGGAATAACTATGGTACCAAGGTCTCCAATCACGATAACATATTTAAAAGCAATCCGTCAATAACCTTAGTCTCTGTCGCGATAACGAGCAATTATTTGATATAATTGTGACTACAATTTACCTTCATTGGTTATTTCTTCCTGTTTTGATATTTTCTTTGTATTATTTTCATCCATTCTACTCGCCCTGGATCGTAATCCATCAACATTCGTACTGGACAATGGCTTGGGGCCTGAATATTCTTTTTCCTTTGGTCTCAGGTCATTTTTTATTGTGTTATTTGTAGAAGTTGTTGGTCTAACCTCTTTATAAATTATAAAAAGAAAATTTTTTATAATGATCTAGCATGTAGTCCAGGTATATAAAAGTAAAAGAGTCACAATGATATAGCATGTAGTCCAGGTATATCAAAGTAAAAGAGTCACAATGATCTAGCATGTAGTCCAGGTATATCAAAGTAAAAGAGTCACAATGATCTAGCATGTAGTCCAGGTATATCAAAGTAAAAGAGTCACAATGATCTAGCATGTAGTCCAGTATATCAAAGTAAAAGAGTCATAAAGATCTGTCATTTAGTCCAGTATATCAAAGTAAAAGAGTCACAATGATCTAGCATGTAATCCAGGTATATCCAAGTAAAAGAGTCACAATGATCTAGCATGTAATCCAGTATATCAAAGTAAAAGAGTCATAAAGATCTGTCATTTAGTCCAGTATATCAAAGTAAAAGAGTCATAATGATCTAGTAATTAGTCCAGTATATCCAAGTAAAAGAGTCACAATGATCTAGCATGTAGTCCAGTATATCAAAGTAAAAGAGTCATACAAATCTGTCATGTAGTCCAGTATATCAAAGTAAAAGAGTCATAATGATCCAGCATTTAGTCCAGTACATCAAAAACTTTATATAACGTTTTGTAGCAGTAGTAAGTGTAGTAATATGGAGGGAAAGAATTTGTGCTTTGAAACATCTATGTAAAATAATATTAGGATTTTGATTAATTATTCTCCATTGTCAATATATTAGTTATGGTATAAGTTAAATTCTGAAACGCAAATTAAATTGGCTATGAATATTATGACAATAACCAGACAAGGTGTCTATAGACAAGAATGCAGAAATATGATGGCTAGAACAATAGCGTTATCTTTCATATTATTGATTCTAACTTCATAACCACAAATATGGAAGGTATATGCCGGTTATTTTGATACGTTAACTGAGCTATAGATTAATGAGCATGTTGGTCATTCACATTTTTTTTTTGTTATAAAACATATATCATATTTGTTGACCAAATAAGGTAACAATCCCTCTCGATGTTCAGTTTGGGGTGCATGTCTTTTCCATATTTAGAACTTAGTTGTTATTAGTCTTTACATTAACACCTCAAACAAAGGAATAGGCACCTATAAAATAGGGTGGGGAAATAGCATTCGGCAGAGCTCACTCCGCCGGCCACACCAGTCATTTAGTTATTTGAGACTAGGAAGAATTGTAACACTTCCAGTTTGTAGAAATAAAGTATTTTAAGAAAAGAACCTGAACTGTAGTTGTAACTTCGTCACGGAAGAAAACACAGCGTGAAGATTGAACAACTGATAGTACTACAGTTAGATTTGGAGCCGTATACCAGGACAGTTAGTATTAATTATTCTGTGAGTATCTCTTTTTTGGTTTTCGCTAAATTCTATCTGAAACAATGGCTGAGGAAATTTTCAGAAATTTAAGTACCCAATTGTCAGGCTTGTCTTCTTCGATTTCCACGAATACGGTCGCGAATATAATTGAACCATACAAAGGCGACCCGAAGCAATTTAAAGATTGGGTTAAAAATATTGCGTTCTCGCTGCAGTCCCGGAGAATAAGGTAAAGTTAGTAGCGTTTCAATCAAGTAGGGGAGTGGTGAGTAATTTTATTCAAAGGCAGATGGTAGCGAATGAAAATGTGACGTGGGATGCATTAAAAACAGAATTAATTAACACTTTCTCAGAAATTACGGATACCCAACAAGCGTTGGCGTTACTACGGAAAATTAAACAAAAACCCGATGAAAATGTACAGGTTTTCGCGGTGAGGATTTTATCCTTAGCCGGTGAAGCCTTTTCAAATTATAGCGGACAGCCGGAATTTGATAGGCAATTGATTAGTTTTTTCGTTGACGGTCTTCAGCAAGAGTACATAAAAACAAAAATATTGCGTGAAGATCCGCAAACATTTATCGCAACAGTTGAGATGGCTAGGCAGGAACAAAATATTAGAAAAAGGTTTGCGTTGAGATTAGGAGCGCCGCATACCCAACCAAGTCAGAACAGTAGGGAACATGAACCCATGGATATTGGCCATATAAGACCCCGCACGTGTGGAATTTGTTATCGTCGAGGTCACGTGAGCCGCGATTGTCGTCAAAAGCGAGTAGTAAATGAGGTTAAAGCGAGTAATCGACGAGGTATGGCGTGTTGGTTCTGTGGAATAGAAGGACACTTCCAACGCAACTGTAGGAAATTTCAAGACTATATTAAATTAAATCCGAAGTTTTATCAAAGAGCCCCATCGGTTAGGTCAAAAACTTCGTGCAAACGGGAAAACTAAGAAACTCTTTCAGGGAGGCTGACGGGAAGAGTAAATATCAGAAGCCATTATGTTATATAAATATATCTGGTTGTTCAAGTTCTTGTTTAATTAAAATAGAAAAAGAATGTTTTGATCATTAGTTGACACAGGGGCACAAGTATCTTTAATTAGTGACCACGTGTATAATTCTTTAAAATATAAACCAAAATTAAATAAAAGTAAAATTACATTACAGTCAGTATAAATGGACTTGAACTGAAATTATTAGGCTGGGCAAATTTGGAATTTCAAATTAAGGGTAAAAAGTTTAGACATGCTTTTCATGTTGTTTCCAATATGAATAGAAACGTAATTTTAGGTCGAGATTTTCTTGTTTATCATGGTTGTAGACTGTTTTTTGATTTGGGATGTATGAAAATTGGTAAAACGTATATTTCCTTAGATAATGATGTAATAATATCTTCTGTTTTGCGAGTAGCAAACGAAGTAATTTTAGAACCTCAGAGGATGTATATCATTAACGCAAAATTGACGAGACATAATTATGACAGTAGGCAGGACGTTATTGCTGTTAAAAGCGCTTTGAGCATGCTTATGGATGGATTTGTCGCTCAAGAAATGAACATTTATATTAGATAATGATGGACATGTAACAGTGGGACTTTACATGTAACCGTGTATAAATTGTCCCGGGGAGATAATGGTGGCCATGTGGCAGTGGGACTTTACATGTAACCCTGTATAAAATGTTCTGGGAGATAATGATGGCCATGTAACAGTGGGACTTTACATGAACCCTGTAAAAAATGTTATGTGGAGATAAACACCACTAATAATCTGAACTCTAATAAATCAGTTGTCTTAATTAAAGAAACCAATAAAATGGTCTGATTATGATAACCACCACTATTGTTCTAATTATTGAGTTTTCTAAATTATAGAAAACATTAAAATGTATATTTACTTACGGCAATATGGTTCTCCACATGCTGGGGCTGCAATTGAAAAAAATTAAAGAAATAACAGAATATTAATCTGACCCAAACTTTACGTCACCAAGGCAAAATAGAACGTTATTACATACAAAAATAGTTGGAATAAATAAAACAACATTTTTATCATAAAAACTCGTTTATCGTCAACTATGATTGATTGAGCTTTCTGTAGTGAAATCAGGAGTGATATCAGTTCGGTTATTCCAAGGAGTGAGAGAGAAAGAGATAGAGAAAGAGATAGAGAGATCAATGACGGTAAAGACCGACCAATACCTTCAGTACCTCTGATAAACACTTACGTCACTATCTATCGGATTTAGATAATAAGGTGTTTCATTTAGTCAAGTGGGATGGTTTCGATTCTCCTCTTGTTTGTGACAAGGAGTAGGGTGGCTTGTCCAAACTCGTGGCTTTTCTCCGGGTCCTCTAGTTTTCACCTACTGTTAACGAACCCCACGCGCAAGTGAATTATCGAAATAATACTGATCTATGCGCTTGTCCCGAAATGGCGTTAATAATGGACGTGAAGCTGATTTTCTCCCTCTCTCTGATTTAGCACCAAAGTAACGTGAAATAAAAGTCTCACGAGACCGGCAGAAAGAAAGACTGATCATTTAAATAGTTCTTTGGCTTCCTTGGTACCTCGGGGGAGGGGAGGGGGAGTTTAACAAAAGCACCACTCTGGGCTACTACTACTCATTAAATCGATTAAGTTAGTAATTGCAGTCACATCTAAAACAGATGACTTTTAATCAAAGCAGTGGGTTGTTGGGTTGAATTACAAAATTGTATACTTACTAGAGCAGAAACCGCCGATGCATTGTGTACCATGGCAGTCATCGTAAGTTTTACACGGAACTGTAAATATTAATCATTATTTTACATCAACAAAGTAACATGTTGATACCAAAGATATTAGACAGTCCTGTCATATAGGGGTAAATTTGTCAAGGCGCCCTTGTTGTTCGCATGTCAGCGCTACCTACGAGATTAACTAATTCGTGTTAGATTAGACAGATGTGGGTACAATGTACCTATGCTCATTCAAAAAGATGTAATTAGACGGTATGTCGGTATGGGGAATTTAAAAAAATGAAATAAAGAGCTACATACTTGTGTCGGTAGGGTCAAGATGTCAGTAGTTCAGATTTCAACTGATTCAAGGTTTTGTGTATAAGAATATAACCCAGTCGATGTAGAACGGTTGGGCGTTTAACCCCATATTATTTCATTGACAAGAACACGTCGAGGAAAACCAAGGAACAGTTGTGCAGCAACAAGGTTAAACACATCTGATACCGTCCATAGAGATTCTCTATCGCTGTCATTGCTACATTATGGTAATTTTAATTTAAGCGTCTATTCCAGGCCCGTAGGTAGCGGCGAGAGGGGCAGCTGCCTCCCCTGAACAAATCGACGCATTCAATGGTCAATTTGCCTATTGGCGAAACAATCGGTTCTCCCAAAGAGCGCCTTTAGCGCTCTTTGAATTAGACGCAATACGAAGCCAACGACGCTACGGTCCTACTATTCACACCATTATTGGTTGAAACAAGACTAAAGAAAGTGACCCGCCGTTCAGATTTCTAAATAGCGTTATGGTAAAGGCCATCAGTGGGGTTAGCATGCTGTTAACAAACCGTGTGGTGAGTAGCATGCTGTTAAAAAACGTGTGCTGGGTAACATGCTGTTAACAAACCGTGTGGTGGGTCAGTTCAGTGAGATTAGCATGTC